GATCACGCTGTGGATAGGCCGGATCAACAGGGGCGCAAGATCAAAGTCCGGCATGCGTTATTCGGCAGCACAACCATAAAAAATTCCATACATGGAGAGTGTGATGACACGCCCGGGTGTAGGTCCACGCCAGGTCAGCCACCTGCGCCCGATCTCACTTTCGGTCATCTTAACTCTGTCATAACACCGGGTCCAAGTGGATGAGGAAGGAGAATGCGGTAGATGCAGCTCAAGTCTACTATCACTGTAAACTAACTCACGCGCATGTCACCGTGCCTGCGCTCACCCTGCTACGAGGCACATAGTGGACATAGCCGGGAAAGACGCTTAAACTGCCGTGAGGTCGCGTATGGCACGGGTACACGGGTTGCTCAGCTTTTGCGGTCATTGTGCTTCGCCTATCCTCATTCTTTCAGCGTTTATCTTGTCCTCCTTGCAGGACGTTTTTGAGGAGGGAGTAAGACAAATATTGTTGAAGTCTGTTTTACTATGAACAAATCCAAGCTGTCACCACTGCGTCCTCCTCAGGACAGTGGTGGATCTCGCCGGTGGCTAGGGCTGAACTATTGTCTTTAGACAGATGCTATATAGACGCGGACTTTAGCGCCAAGGCACATCTGCCTTTACTTTAAGCAGTCTTCTGATTGTGTCAGTGAGGAGTCTTATTCCACAATCAGTTCACACATTAGATGGGCGAGATGGAGCTTAGATACAGTGCTCCCAGATTTTTTGAGTGGCTTGTTACCAATAGTCACAAAATTTGTGAATTTAGCAGACATATCATAAGACTCCAGTAGTGTTCTCTGCGCAGATCTACAGACCGATGGAGTCGGAAACAGCACTTAGTCAATAAAGCGCAAGGATCAGCCTGGAGTAACTGCATTAAGGTTCACGATATCGCCGGCGTCGTTGTCAAATGAAAGTAAGTCCATGAGTTTTACGTGTGCTATAAAAAACAAGGCCGGAAAAAACTCATGTTTGACATCGACAACTACTAAACAGCTGCCGAAACAAGAGTGTGAGTTTAGTGAATTTTTTTACAAATGGACAGACGACCTGCGAGTTTGTGAGACCATGACAACCTAGGCCTCCTTGGTGGAGCAAAAACAAAACCCATAGCTACCATAGAGACCAGTGGTTTCATAGAAGATATAGTCTCCCCAGTATTCTATAAAAATAAAGTGATCGTGGAAAGTAGGTCGTGCAGGATTTTTCGACAGTTCAGCTGCATGATCAATAAACTTTGCAGATGGGTTTTCAGCAGGCAGGTCCTCCTTCCGATGGTAAGTAACCCCTTGAATGTGCATAGCCCGAGGCAATATTAAAAAGAAATCAGGCCTTTTGACGATGTACTGAACGACCAAGAAAGTCGACTGCAACTGTCTGTAAAATAACTCCGAGGTATGCCGACTTATAAAAAAACGTAGAAACAAAGGGGTTCCCAAGTTCTTCATAGCTAGTTCCTGGCCCAAAAGACTGCTGGTCTACGGAACTTCCAAATATTAGGATACTCTGCGGTCTTCTTTTGCAACAACTCCATATTTCGCGTGTTGCTCATTTCAAAACCTTGCGCAGAACAAATGTGGCAAACTGTGACCATGGGACACCAACAGGACTGACCGACTACTGGCAACCGGAAAAATATGCTCAGGTACTTTTGAAATTTTATAAACTCGCAGCATTTGAAAGCAGCCAGTTATGGCCCACATCCTAGCCTACCTTTCACTCTTGCAGTAACATTCACTTAAGTAGAAACCTCAAACACACGCGGTTGTGAAGTGACCTGAATCTGATTGGCCACGCCAACCACCGGCATAGATTGCAGGGGCTACAAATATTCAGAAACCAAATACCATATTTCCAATAAGTGGAAATGATAAGAACTTTAAAAAAAAAGTCATCTCAAGGCTAGGCGTACATCCAGTTCGTTTACAGCTCCCCATGCAAGGCAACCAGAATAACGCAAGGCCTTGGATGGTTTAGCGCCGCTATTGTAGGGGAAGTAGCACAAATAAGCGCCTGGAACGCTCAGTCCTCTCGATCCTGAGGCCCACGGCAAGGTAGCAGATGTAAAATGTATGCATACTTCATACCTGTTGATTGTCAATAGACAGTTTGGGTACCAGAAGTCACATGCATGTGTGCATTCCCGCAGGTCATTCCAACGAATTGTCCAGGTGAGTGTGCTCAAGAATAGCATAGACTCTATCAAAAGCTTAAATTTAAGCTCTGACCACCTTCCAGCATGGTATAATCAGAACGAATTTACCGCAAACAAACTGCATCACAGAACCCCTTTGATGGACCTCAATCAGTCAGCAAAGAGGACAACAGGAAGTGATCTTTTTTTCTTAAAACAGCACCGTTAGAAAACCCGTCACGTGACAGAGGTCGGGTCTCTGCCGAGGTAGAATATTTATGTATTGCGTAAGTAAATGACTCAAGAGGATTGGCATAAAAAGCCTTACAGAGTAATCAACTGGACCAATGGCCTTTTGGATTCGACAGTATAACTGTTTCTTGTAAAAGGTGAAAAATAGTGCCATCATATACTGCCGAGATTTCATTATTAATGCCAAAAATAAATGCTCTGAAAGGGTCATTTTGCGAGCACGGGTAAAAACGGCAGACACTAAACTGGCCATAAGTACCCTGGCAAAATCTACTGCTCAAAGCATGTAGACTTGCCGGTTCAGCATATCATATGAATGACGCACCAAGAGCCTCGAAAAATTCCGCATCAGTCATCTTCTTTTTGGCACGTCGTCGAACAGCAGGTGGCTGGGCCTTAAAGTAGAAAACAAAGGATAACTCAGAGATTGGTTACTGTAAAAGTCGGAATAACCTATGTTTAAAATAGGCCCTGTAGGTTAGGACGCAAGGTTATCTTGGCAATTCGTCTCATTTGAGACCCAAAATTTTGCCCAATATGCTGCATGCAATTCCATGTCCTAAATTAAAAGACCCGGGAGAGCTGTCGTCCAGACTTGACAGAGCACCTAAGCAATGCACAATGCAACCGGAAAGAACGATTTGGATTGACTTTTTCAAGGTTATAAACCACGGCACATCGTATTTCGCAATTGCGGTCTCTTGGGAAGGCCTGGAGAAGTTGGAGTAGAGATGAATTGTGAAGGCAAATGTGAGTTTTCAAACTCAATACTGACTGCACGTCAGTTGACTGTTCTAGATTAAGGCTGGTGCCGATACTTATGTTTAGCAATAGATATCGGTACCAGTCTTATGCTTAACAGCTCGCAGCAGTAGGGACATTGCCAAGGTCGCTTACAAAACAAATAAGCGGAAAGAGAAAGTGGTAGAGTGTGGAACAGCAGTCTGCCGGAAATGATAAATTAAAATAGTGAATTGCGTGTGGGAACCAACCTTCAGTTCCGTGTTGACTTTTGGCACAGGCTGTTTCTTAAAAGCATCCGATGACTTTAATTCAGATATTATATCCTTATCGGTATCAGACTTTGCTAACTGGTTATTAGCGGCGGTATTGACAGCTGGTAAAGCACGTCCCGACTTCGTACTTTTGGGAGAACCCGCAGCCACTTCAAGAAGGGTAGGACGCGGGGCCTCTGGTAAACTGCCAGACTCCGAGCCTGTACTCCCGTGGTCTGGTTTCCCATTCTCGGACGCTGATGCGTTTTTGCGCTCGTGGTCATCTATACGGATCGACAATCGTAAGGCCAACTATACCTTCTTCTCCATCGGGCATACTCCCGACGCTGACTCCCAGGAATTTGTCGTTTTCTTGGTTTTTTAAAGCAACTTCATAAGTTTTCACAGCATTAATAATTTCTTTCGGGTGATTCGTCTTTTCCTCCTGACTGAAGTTAGCACCGTTAATCAACTCTTTCCAGTAATCTGGCATTCCGCAGAATTCTCCAGTCACAGGATCGTACGTAACATGTACCATTTTTTCCACATTTGTAGGCATGGATATTTCCGTTATGGTTTTGTCCGTCCATCTCTGCCGTAATTGCTTGAACGGTTTCATCCTCTGGCCAAACGCAATTGTACTTCGCGGGCGATTAAAAGTATATTATAACTGACTCGTTTAGAATAGGGTCGCTGTTTGGGCAAACCGAAATAACTGAGTACCAAGCCATTAATCTATTTCTTTAAAATGGAAGTATTTTTCTGTGTGTTATAGACAATCTCCGACAGTACTGCACCAATTGCGCTGGGCTTTTGACACAACCTTGCCTGCGTATAGGGCTGGGTTTCTTTCTGCCTACCTTTATAGTCGTGCAGATGCTACGCCTGCGACGGATTAAAAACCGTATTTTTTTCCGGCATAACAACGCCACCTGCTGTAGCCACTTGACCCGCATCTACTCGGACACACATGCGCCCGCCGAGCAACTTTTCCACAACGCAGGTTTCCGACTGCTTTGACCTGCTTGGGATGCACAAGCCCTCAAAACATGTACACGGGCGTGTATCGCCTGCCAGCGATGTAAGGCCCGGCCGCACAACCATACCCTCATTGGCACCTTCCCCCGCCCTTTTGCAAGGTTCAGCCACGCTCAACTGGACATTGTAGGTCTCCTGCCTCTGTTCAATGAGTGTTCCTTTAACCGCATCTATGTGGATCAGTTAATCCGGCGGCCCGAAGCTATCACCCTGCCTGACATTGCTGCTCCAGTGGTGGTTACAATTTCCTCAGTCGTCGAATTGCCATCTTTGGCGCATCCTCCACTATCACGACTGAACGCGGTGCCTAGTTTGAGTCGAACCTCTTCCAGTCGTTCCTCTCCTTTTTGGGTTGTGTCTGCATCCGGACGACAGTCTATCACCCGGCTGTCAACGGGGTGGTTGGGCGATCAGGCCGCCAGTTTGAAACCTTCCTACGCGCCGTAGATGATCCGGAGAATTGTACAGACCATCTTCCCCTGATCCTCTTGAACATCCGCTCAGCTTTATATCCAGACCATGACTGCTGGGCAGCTGAACTGGTCCTCAGCACCACCGTCCAACCACCCAGTGAGATGATTTCGCTAACCCGGCGGGGTGCAGTAGATGATCCTACCAACCCCCTGCACCGTCTCGGGCAGTTTATGCGGACACCATATTCCGCTTCTCCGTCTCATCTTGAGAAGAACTTGGAAACGTGCTCTCGCGTCTACCTTCGATACGACCGAGTCCACGGACCTCCAGAATCGCCCTGTGACGGCCCGTTTCGGGTCCTCTCTCAAGGAACGAATACGTTCCGCATTCAACGCACCAATCGTGAGGAGTTCGTGAGTGTGGATGGCCTGGAAGCTTCTGTGCTGGACTTTTCGTCGGACGATCCCTGTGGCCCCTTACCCTCTGCTTCCCCACCTCCTCAAACCTCTATCCCGCCGTCCCGTACTTTCACTCTCCCCTCTGTCACCCACCTCTAACTGCCAACTGTGACTCAAACACTTCGGCTTCAAGACCTATTAACTTCTCTCCGGCCCCTGTATATATTACTCGCAGTGGTCGTCAAGTTCAATTTCCTGATAGGTTGGTTATTCAACTCTTTGAGACTTATACACGTGCTTCGGCGTATTTTCCGCCGCCCTCCGGTCTCGGAGGGGGATTGCGCGGGGCACCAGACTATGTTGCCTTTATCTACCTGTTCATCATTCGTGAACTTATTGTTTCTTTGTCTGGATGAGAAAATTTAGATAAGACGCGACGTCCATGGCATGTGTTGGATATCAGGCCATTTGAAATTTAATAATTGTCATAAAGGGCATGCCTGAGTCCATTTCTCACAGTCCAAAGGACAGAATACAGCATGAAATAGTGACATTCTAGGAATATCTCAAATCGCTTTTAAAAGGAGACGAGAAAGTCACCGTAGTAAAGGCTTTCAGGATGGGCCAAATTAAAGACTCAAAACAGTCCGTTATATACCGCCACCTACAGGCCAGTCCTGCTCGCTTTTTTCTGTTATTATTTTTATGGAGGGGTTTTTTTTCTCCTGTAAAATCAATCCAATCATTTTTAACTTTTTGTAAGGAGTTTTTTTTCACCCCTCAATCATCATGTTTCTTAATGGACTTCTAATTCAGAAACTAGGAATTGCATTTTGTAAAGATTCGGCCTACCTCGTCTAAAACTCGCATGCAAATTTATTTTAACTTGCTTTGATGGGACCCCGACGGGTCTTTAATAAAAATTATCTATCTATCTATCTAACCAGACGGACCGCAATCGCTAAAAATTGTCATCCATAATAAGGAACAAGCACAGCTACTGTTGAGCAGGAAATTCGTGATCCAAAATGCCCATCCATCAGTTTTTTCAGCAGGACTTTTCATCCGCGGAGAGAGAAAATGGAAGAGGCTCAAATTGGAAGTCCTCAGGCGGTCGAGCCTAGGCGAGAAAAATCTCAGAATACTGTACGGGAAAATCATACGCGTCTAGAGGCCATTCCTCTGGTGGAAGCCTATAACCCCAAGAGCTTGGGAATGACGAAAAGCAGTCGATCTCGATCAGCTCCGGCCGGCTTTTGCATCCAAGCCCATGACATGGACAAACGCCTGTATGCCGGAGTTGCTCGTGCCAAATGGAGACTTTTGCTTCCTAACTCTAAAAGTCTCGTTTCGAAGATCGACGAACTCAAAGCGCTAGTTTCAGAATGAATCCCCGACGTCATTGCCATACCAGAAACTTGGCTTAATGCCGAAATCGTGGATGCCGAGATTTCGACACCAGGTTATCAGCTGTCTCGTAGAGACCGTTAAAATAAACAGGGTGGTGGGGTAGTAGTTTATGTAAGGACAGAAATTTCGGCTATTTGACGGGTCCATACCCTTACCCTTGAATATGAATCCACTTGGATAAAGATAAAGAAGAGTAATGCACAAAACCCAGAATTCCTGGCAATTTACAGACCACCGAACCCTCCGAGTGCAGCTGATGAGTCGCTCCTTCATTTAGTCAAGGACGTAGCTTGCCATCAAGAGGTATTTATTGTTGGGGATTTCAACGCACCTACAATAGAGCGGAGAAACTATATTAGTTAACCGTAAGCCAACTTCCTTCAACAAAAAGCTAACGGACCTCACACTTGATCTCCCACAGGCGTAACATATGAAGGCACCAACAAGATTGGGAGAGAACCAGAGAACGAAGTGTCTGGACCTAGTTTTCACTAAAAACTTCTCTAATATCAACTAAGTGTATTCCAATGCTCCTGTCAGAACGAGTGACAGTACCACGTTACTATGGGACTAATCGCTCTTATCTTAAAGTTAGAAAAGAACATAGGGTCAACCTAATATATGGAATGCAGATCTTAACGCCATAAAGGACGAATTGATGCCCGTGAATTGGAAACGTTTGCTCAAGATAGATCCGGAGGAGGACTGGAGATCGTTTAAGACGATTTCACTCGATCGACTTCGGCGCCGTTGTCGACCTGCTTAGTTAACTATGGACCTTAGTAGGCAGTTATGGAAGAAGAGCAAAAAATGGAAAATATTCAGGGAAACTGCGTCACCAGCGCATTTCGAACAATTTCGTCTTCAACGAAATGTAGACAAAAAATGTATCCGTCAGGCGCGGAAGGAGTATGAATCCAAAATTATCCGACAGGCAGAACAGAAATCCAAGATTTTATTTCACCGTCCTAACAGTGGACTGAAAAGCAAGGACCCGGTTGCAGTACTGAAGGATTATAATGGTGTAGAAATCATTGAGAACAGTGGGAAAGCCAAACACTTGGGATGGTATTTTGCCTAGGATTTTACCAGGGAAACAGAGTTTCGTAGTCGCAGTACCAGCAATGCTGTTGAGACCGCTGGTCCTGAGCTGGACTCCGTATTCTTCCCAACATCTGTCGTTGAAAGGGAGTTGCAAAATCTTAAAGCCGCAGAGTCCTCGGGTCCGAAAAACATACCGGCCATATTATTGAAAGCATTTGCGAACGAACTCTCCAAAACGCTGGCACACCTCTTTTGCTCGTCATTCGAATTAGGGAGGCTGCCATCGGAGTGCAAGACAGCAAATATCTTTCCGATATGACAGTTCGACCATCAATTTCGATGATGTCCACCGTGTGCCCCACAGCAGCAGTAGTGGGAGTAGGGACGGTGACTTGCGCAGGGGTTTATGGTACCGGTAGACTTGCGCTGCATCTACCTTCACTCTCTCCTCCCACCCGCCTGAGTCCGGTATCAAGACAGAGTCAAGAAGACCGGAGACGATGGAGGCCACAGGTGGATAACTCGGACGGATCCTCACCTTGGCGTTCCACCACGCCTCCTGGTCCACACAACAAATAACCAGTATTTCAACCAACACAACAGAGATTTGGAGGATGGCACGGCCGAAGCCGCACCTAGGCGTGCCGCCGACGCCTGACTCGGATCCCATGATGTGATGGGAGTGCCATAAAGGCCACATTAAGAAGGAGCCATTGCAGCCTGACTCTCATACCCCCACCAGTCGAGGAGGAGGTCCAAGTTATCCCGTCAGTTGGCAACCTTCCAAGCCACGGCTTTTAGCGCACCGTGATAGCTTCAAGCGCGTCAGATTGTTTATAGTGAGGAGAAAGCGCGCTGAGTCGTCGACCTCACTCTCCCTTCCCACTCCCACACCCCAGCCACTGTCCGAGCCGGCCAGTAGTCTGGAGTGGGAAATGGGCGCGGTGGCTGGCACGGTCGACTGACCATGCCTGCGCGCGCCACAGCACGACCTGGTCCCCCATACACACAAACACCAGGATTTCACACAACGGGGGTTGAATGGCGTGTCTCTCACTTGCGTGAGAGGGCCGTGGTAGGTGCTGTTTCAGCCCGTCCTCAGCCACTCCGGACAACACACACACACACAACGGGACGAACCGCGTGGACTGAGGGAGGCGTCAATCAGCGACCTTCCTATCCACAACGCTTGACGTGTCGGGATAGTCTCAGACTCAAGTCACCCTTGCAGCCGAAGCCGCATAGGGACCGAGTCGAGATGCACACTTCCCTCCTAAGTGGGAGGTGGCAGTTAGGTGCTTGCGGTGTGTGAGTGTTGATGTGCGGTGGTGGTGGTGGTGGAGGAGGCGGGGTGTTATGGTGTGGTGTAGCCGGCGGTTATCTACCACAGGTCGTCGTGGATGCGCATGTGGTCGAGTAAGCCCATGCGATGAGTGAAAGTGCGAGGACAGTGTGGGCAGTGGAGGCGAGCTTTGTGGGTATAGGTTGGTGCTCCAGGCCCTGGTTCGCCAGTTTTCGTGCGATGAATTCGCAAGTGACTGACCAGGCCGATGCGTGAGGTGAATGTGCGGTCGCAGTGAGGGCAGATGTAGTCCTCGTCCTCCGATTCGCCGCGAATCGTAGTGTTGCGACACTAAAAATAAAGGCCTATTGGTTAATTTCAGTAGGCATGTTTGTTTAAAATACTGCCCTCTGCTGCTTTTCCCTTAGCATGCTTATGCTATTGGTGATACAATCATTCACCGCAATTTTTATTAGTATTATTCGCTGCAGTGGTGGCTGCCCCACTACGTGTCTATTTACGATATTGTTAGTAACTTTCTGCTGTCCGAATTAAGCGCATTGCTAACAGTTGCACAGTCCTTGACGTTAATGTTACTAGCATTAATTCAGTCAGTGTTACCTATACCATAACAGTTAGTAATGTAGAAGTTGTCATGTCAGTAGTAGTATTCGTAGAAGTAGTAGTAGTACTAGTAGTAGTAATAGAAGTAGTAGTAGTAGTAGAAGTAGTAGCGGTAGTAGTAGTATTAGGAGTAGTAGTATTAGGAGTAGTAGTAGTAGTAGTAGTAGTAGTAGTAGTAGTAGTATTAGTAGTAGTAGTAGTAGTAGTAGTAGAGGTAGTAGTAGTAGTAGTAGTAGAAGTAGTAGTAGTAGCGGTGACAGTAGCATTAGGAGTAGTAGTGGTAGTATTAGTAGTAGTAGTAGTAGTAGACTTAGGAGTAGTAGTAGAGGTAGTAGTAGTATTAGTAGTAGTAGTAGTAGTAGTAGTAGTAGTAGTAGTAGTAGTAGTAGCAGTGGTAGAAGTAGTAGTCGTAGTAGTAGCAGTAGTAGTAGTAGTAGAGGTAGAAGCCTTAGTCGAAGCATTACAATAAGTAGTAGTACCATTAACACAAGTGGTAGTTGTGGTGTCATCGGCGTAGTGGCATTAGTAGCAGGGGTAGAAGTAGTAATAGCGAAGGTAGTAGTAGTAGTAGTAGTAGTAGTAGTAGTAGTAGCAGTGGTGGTAGTAGTAGTAGTAACAGTAGTAGCAATAATAGCAGCAGTAATAAAAGTAGTAATAGTGGTAGTAGTAGTGTTGGTGGTGGTAGAAGTAGAAGTAGTAGTAGTTCGGTGGCAGTAGTAGTAGAAGAATTAATACTAGTAGTAGAAGTCGTAGTAGCAGTAGTAGTAGAAGTAGTAGAAGCAGTGTAAGAAGTAGTAGA